TCGATCGCGCTTGGTCATACATTCCTGCACCAGCGTCGGTAAATGGAGTTGATGACGGAGGAGTCCCGGTCAGTGCCTCAACTTCAAACAAACTTCTATGCACCCTTGGGCTTCGAGGGATTGGCCGTGTAAACGACGCGTCGTTAGCTCCCTCCGGCGAGCAGATAGAAAAAGACGGTCGAGGAATACGAAGACGAGGGAATGGGGAGTGGAAAACACGAACGAGAAAGTGGTGGGAGTCCAGAGGACGAGAAGAATCACACGAGCATGACTTACGATTAGGGTTCCTGGTTACGACTTTTCGAATCGTAACAATTCACGACAGGTAGGTAGCTACGTGTATCCACTCGACCGACTCGGGGACAATTTCAACGTTTCGCTGGTAAACCAGGCTGAAGGATGCGGTGGCTTGTGGCGAGATTCAGTTTAGAAGGTTGTAGAGAAAAAAGGTACCCGAATGGAGGTGCAAGTTTTGGGATATGATCTTTTTGTAGAAATGGAATTAAAGTGGAATACAGTCATGAATTGTATGATTGCTGTCAAATACTATAGATTCGAATGGGACGAATTCAGGACCGAGATACTCCAATCCTTTCTACTGAGGATGCGAAGACCTGATTGTTAACAGTTTAAAATTACAAGTTTGCGGAGAAATATTAATTTAAAACCAAATTATCCCGGCCATTTAGTTTGAAATTACAAGCTTAAGGAGAAGTATTGATTTAAAACTAAAGCTATAGATCTGATTGGAAAACAATATAGGAGAGAATTGTATGTAATTTAATTACCTTTAACTTAAGAGTCGTCGCGATCAAATCTGTCAACTATAACGCGAGATATGGCCAAAAACGTCTGGTCGTCTTTTTAAAAAATTACCAAAATATTCATCGGGCGATAATTCAAAAACGTATCCGTAGGATTGTCTCAGGTGGATTTTTAAGTATAGAGGACCATCTCCCATAAGAATTTCATAGTAGAGTCTCTAGGAAACAGAACTTCTTCTAAGAAACAGAAAATTGTGCCAATCCATTTGTTTACAAAAACTGAAGCACTAATAACATTGCACACCAAACACAATTCTCCACAACCAACCCAGAGATTCAATTTCCAATCGCACCAATACACCAGTCACCAAAACACGAAGCAATTCACGAACATTATCCACAGTATACTGTTCCCGAGTGTTGTTCCATTTACCCACCTTCGTTTATATACACCCCCGTCCCTGAGCCCTGGTCACGAGGTATCGTCCATTCAACGCGACCCAACACCCTAATTACCACGGGTCACGGGTAGCATAAATAACCATTTACATTCCGGTCCCGTCAAAATTTGAAGAATCCTGCCGCGGCCCGTTAATCCCCGGGCCAAGCCGACCACGGAAAAGCCCCTTTAATTTCCCTACCTCTGAAATCCCCCCTGCCCTTGGTAGAAAACAGGAGGGGGGGGGTGCCTCGACCGACGATTTCGGTTGCGCTTTTCGTCGGGGGTCACGTCCCCGTTGCTAGTATTATGCGACGCGTCACTTTCAGGTGGGAAAAGGACACGCCTGGGCGAGAGAAAAAGGTGCAGGAACACCGACACGGTTTCGCGAGAGCACCGGAGGAGTCCTTTAATCGTCCGCCTGGTAGCCCGTGGCTCGCGGGGCTGGAAGGTGGAAGAGGGATTTGAGGGAGGGGGTTGAAAGTGGCGGAACAGGAGGAGGAACAAGCCTGAGAAAAATAATCCAATTTAGCGAGAGCACGCGGACGAAGCGACGCGGCGGCCCCGCAATTCGCCTGTTTTCACGGTTTTTAATTACGCGTCCTCCTCCTCCTCCTCGCGCGTACCCGTCGGGGCGGAGGCCGAGCGCGCGCACACTTTGTCCTCGCGATCCTGACAAAGGAGCGTGTTTTCATGGATATTTCACGGAGCCACGGGCGAAAGGAGAAACTACGAGGAGGACGACCGTCGTGCTTCCACCCCCTCCGGGGGCTGGCTGACGACCGATGCACTTTAACCGTTTGTCGCCTTTCTATCAGCTACTACGAAAAGTTCCGTCGCGTACTTTTCTGTTTTTCAGGGTGGGAAAGTGTTTTCTGTAATTAAGCGATTTTCATCGGGTACAGTTGATCGTGCTGCATTCTGTTTGTATAGATTTGAATTGTCTTGAATTTTATCTGTAGAGAAATGAATTATCTTGAATTCTGTTTGTATAGATTTGAATTGTCTTGAATTCTAATTGTATATATTGGAATTGTCTTGAATTCTGTTTATATAGATTTGAATTGTCTTGAATTCTGTTTGTATAGGTTTGAATTGTCTTGAATTATATTTGTATAGATTTGAATTATCTTGAATTCTATTTCTAGAGAAATTAATTATCTTGAATTCTATTTGTATAGATTTGAATTGTCTTGAATTCTGTTTGTATAGATTTGAATTGTCTTGAATTCTATTTGTAGAGATTTGAATGGTCTTGACTTCTATTTGTAGAGAAATGAATTATCTTTGAATTATAATGAAGGGGGGTAGGTTGATTAAGATAGGGGGCAGTTTATCTGGAACGCTCTGATTTGATAGTTTGTACTAGTAGATAAGGATTTGGTAAAATTCTGTAAATGTAGAAATGTCATAATAATCTGTATTTCCAAAAACTTCAGCAGTCCGATAATAATCGTCGCCCTTTAAGTGTTAATTATTCACACAATGGAAAAAGCTTACAAGGTATAAACGAAGAAGAAATAATTTTATTCTTGTTCGTACGATCTCATATATGTATAGGGTATGTCGATAGGTGGAAAGCTTTTACTTCTACGAAACGAGTGGAAGCGCGGTGTATTTCGTCGGATGACCGACTTTTTATCAAGAATTCCCCGTTTTTCCGAGACGACCCCGTTTTTCGATTTTCGAAGCCGTCCGTCACCGAACGTTTTCGGAGTTTTATCGTTCCTGCTCCGGCGGGATGGGAGGAGGGGAAAACATTCCGACGATACCGCGTTGCAACCGGTCGCGTAATACGAGCGACTCCAGTTTTATTTCGCTTCAACTTTGACCCCGTGCCGCTTTCAGATGCATCGACGGGTTTTGATGTGTTCGTACGAAAGTGGACTTCTCCGACGATGTACAACGATGTCCCCGTCATCTTACTCCGAGAACCATATTGCCGGTTTTATTATGCCCATTCGCTTCTTCGAAGGGCGGGGAAATTCGTGCCCGTCTACAGAGATCCTTTCCATGGATTATTTATACTCTGATCGTTTCATATCCGATAAAAGTCGTGTTTGTAAAGTTCGCGAAACATTATTAACCGAGGGGACCCCGTTCAGAAATACAATTCATAAAGAAATTTATTATTGGTTCGATCGAAAGTGCGAAACTAATCGTCACAGAGAACGAAAGAATAAAATATTACCACGCGCCCCATATATATTGATAGTATTATTATTAATATCTGAAATATAATATTTCGGGGTTTTTTTGTCGATTATTTACTATTACCATATAAACCAATAGGGTAATATTTGTTCCTTGTTCACTGTCTCTAATTGACAAAGGTGGGCGTTTGTGAAACGTGTGCATGATCAATAGGCGGCAGTTTTTTTTTTTTTACGGTATAACACGATTGTCTGAACCGTGGTAGAGCAAAATGTTGAATAAACCAGAACGAAGTGTTTTTTTTTCAGTTTATCTTGTATTTATTGATAGAATATTTTAACAGAGTAAACAAAATTTCTGTTCGATTCCAGTTTCTGGATCAATTACTCCATGAAGATCTACACATTCGTAGAAGCATCTGCAGTCTACTGATCAGTCACAGTCATCTAGGGATGAAGGCTGAACCTCCACTATTCAACATAAAAAGAAAACATATAGTGAACCCCGTTCATTCATTAAAAGGTAGGAAGAGAACACCTCGAGTGTCCTCAATAAAAACGCACACTAATTTCTGACAAAACATCTGATCGCCTTCGAAAACATCTTCGACCCCTTATGCGCAAAATCTTTCGGAATTTACAAACGGAAAGCTTTTGCGCTTTTTTTTATTGTTACATACGATTCATGACAAGACTAAGGATGTTTATACAAATTCACAAATTTAGACACTAATTTATATATATAAAAATGAAATAGAAGTTTATTTTCTGTACTCGATGTTTGTATTATATTTAAAATAATATATAAATGTCACTAAATTTTTTTTAAGAGTGTTGCATTATAAAATTTCCTATAAATGCATAAACATCCACAGTCTAGTCATGACACAAATGACCCTTGTCAAATGCTTCGGTTTTTCTGCTAACAACAGATTCTAGTAATCAGAAACGAGACTTACAATATGGTGTAACCTATACCATGAAGACCAACTTATTCTGATTTATTCTCAAATGAAAATTGATCGACTCTTCGAAAACAACCTCTGCCAAAGCTTTTTGGTTGACAAGAAAAGGTTCGTTTGACAAATTGACAAGGATTTTCCTTTTCTTCCCGAATTACATTCCAAAATACCATTCTGAACAAAAATCCACATTAGATGTAATCTAGATCTATATCTCTGGATAATTCCTCTAACAAGATCCGAACCAGAAAACTCCAAATCCAATTGCGAGTACCTACGTGGGCAGACCCTAAGATAATGAAAACAAAAGCAGAACTACCGACGAATAATGCAACCGAACATTACAGTGAGACAATTTCGCAAAGCACGCAAAAACTTTCCGTTCAACCCCATATAACTATCCCCCCAAAAGGACCAATCAACGGGCGACCATTCAGTCCCCGTGTCCGCGACGACAGGATTAACGCGCACGGTATTCTTCTCGGAGGGATTCTTAAATGGCGCGTAACAGGTGGGTCGAAGGCGGTGGTGCGCCGCGCGCTCGCGCGATCGCCCACCCCGCAAAAACAAAAGCGGCCACCGCCGTCAGGCGTGCGCACGGTTCGAAGGAGGTGGGGATGGGGTGGTTGGTGTGTACGTATAGGTAGAGAAAGGCTGTGAAACACCAAAGGATTAAACTCACGTGTCCGAGCTTCTCCTCCTTCCGCCTCTTGGGATCGCTCTCGAGGTCGGGGGTGCGGCTGCGGAATTTCTCCGGCGGTGAAACGGATCGCCTGAGTCGGTCGTCGGTGAGCGGGATCGGCTTACGGTCCTCGGGCGTCTCCGCGGCGGTACGATGCTGTTGCAGGTCCGACGGCTTCAGGAGCGCCTGCGCCTGCGCCTGGGCCGCGGCTGCGGCTGCCGCCGAGTGCGGCGGTGGGGCGAGATGCGGCGGTACCACAGCCGCCGCGGCCGCAGCCGCAGCACCTGCGAACCCCAACAGCCCGGCCGGCGGAAGACCGCCGACCACCGCGCCGTGGGGCAACTGCTGCGCGTGTATCTGTTGCTGTAACATCGGCCAATCGACGTGTGATCATCCCGTTTTTTTTTTTGTTATACCCTCACGAGCAAACTCAACTTCCGGTAGGGGAAAAAGTAATGTACAAGGTCCTTCTTTCACTTGGGGAATTATTGGAATTTATATCAAATTAACCACATGCCTTGTAGAGTCAGACTTAGATCGATTTTTCACTTTCTACATTTTCTTTTTAAGTACATCTTCAGAATATTCTGTGCATGTTTCAAGGTAATTCGATTAAAAATGACAGAGTTACAGGCGTTAAGAAATGAACTTTTTATATAAGTGTAAACTTGACTTGGAAATTTAAACGCAGATTTAATCACGGCAGACCACTTTTTGTGAAAAGACATACGGGAAATCGCTCACCATTTATTTTTAAATGAAATATTACCTTATAATCTAGAAACTGCAATCTTTGTAACACAAACACATTTTTTGAAAAAGGTCTTATAGTTTTTGAGAATCTTTTTTGGCCTCCTGACTGAGCATGACCCCTTAATAAACCTGAGTGTTACTCCTTTTCTTTAAGACGAAGAGAAATGCTCTTTTAGTAGTATTAGCATTTAACTATTCGAGTTATTGCAGATTTGCAATGAATACAGAATTTATTTTATTCCTCCGTACGTTAATTTTTCCCCTAGCGGAAGCTGAGTTTGCACTTCAGTGTACATATTGTTTACTACTGACCAGTCGAAGATGTGGAACTTAAAATTTGAGGTTTTAGTTTTCTTTGTAATTTTAAGATCATACTGGACAGTAGTGCATGAGTAAATATATTGTAAATTGTTTCTTTCGAGTTACGTTGATCAACTGTGGAAAAAAGGGTGAACTGCCGAAATGCACCCACATTTGATGACCCTAACCTTGGTATATGTTATTCACGGAGGTGTAAAACTGGTGGCCCGCAATGAATTATATTTTCTACGAATTGAAAATATTGTGAAAATGTAAGCAATGTTAAATTTCTTTGTATATAATACATAACGGGACCTCCACTATGATTCTTCGGCTAAACTGTGAAATTTAAAAGTTGAAATAACTAAATTTCTTGAAATAACTGAATAACTAAACACTTTTCAGCAATCGTAACTACAATGTTTTACATAAATACAGTATTCCCTCGTTATATTTCGTTCTAGCAAGCCCCCTATAATCACACTGCTATCCCAACTGTATGATGAGTTTAGTCGTTAGTAGACATTCGCTACTGTATTATGAATTCAGTTGACAGTAAACATCTCCAGATTCACTTTCATCAACGATCTCAGGTCTAAGCCAATCAAACTATTCCAGAATATTGTTCTCTATAGTTGCACCCTATTATAGAGAGTAATTATAAGGAGGGAATACTCAACCCTATACTGTCTCCACCTAGCAAACCATCCAGATCAAAAGTGTCTGTTAAGGAAGACTCACCAGTAGCTGTTGTAGACCCTGTTGTTGCTGCAAAAGAGTTTCGCAATAGTTAGTCGCGGTTCTTCTTATACACGTCAATCACGGCACAAAAATGAAAATTCGGAAAAATACAAGCAGCCCGCGCGTGACGCTCAACGGATGAAAACTTGTGTGTTCCATGATCGACAATCGAGCGTCGACTGCTTGCCAGAACCGATTGAGAGAAATATAAGAAAACGAAGAGAAAGAAAAATTTGTGAAATAGAATCAATCGTGGATAGTGAAGCTCACCCCAATAATAGCGTTTAGCTCGGTCGTCGTGACTTGCTTCGCCCTCTCTACGGCACTGGCCACCTGCTGCTGATGCTGCAAGCCATGCTATCATTATCGCGTCGTTGTCACTCTCGATCGCGAGATTGCGCGGCACACGTGCCAAACAGAAAGTCAAAGACTCACCTCTTGTGCCAGGAACGGTAGTAGCTGGACGATTATCGCGTTCAACCGCTTGGCGATCTCCGTCTGCAACACCATGATAAATGGCCCAATTAATGAAAGAACAGCAGTGGAGGAAGGAGAAAGACACAGGGGGTGAACGAAAATTTCGAAATGTCACCGACGGGAGCTCCGAGAAATTTACGGATCAATAAGGGCTTCCTCTTTTCGAATCGCATTAACCCCTTCGCACCGGTGGACGAGATATCTCGCCACGTGATTTCGTTCATGATATGCTTTCACGAGATCGTCCAAATATATCATGAACGAAATCATGTGGCGAAATATCTCATCGGTACGAAGGTTTATAAAAATGTATACTTCACAGTTTTTATTCGTTTTTGTACGTACGTACGAATTGGTCCTTGCTTGGCGATAACACTGACAAAGTTGTGATTTTTCGTAGCAAAACAATACAATTTTTTCATTTAAATATTTTAACTCTCAAAATTCAGATAAAAGTTGGTTCTTGAATCTAAATCTATGAAATTACACTGCCACCTACATTTCACCTAAGACAATAATTCGTTGCCTTTAATTGCTTCTAGACTTCATAATACAATAGTTATGATCGTCTATAGTGCACTAGACTCCAGCAAATGCTGCAAGAACACCTAAACACCGCAGATATTACACAAGAAAACTGTAATTCCACATGTTCGATTCATTTCCATCCGCAGTGTGTCATCCGAGTCTATGGTTATTTTACTCGTTGCGGTGCCCATTGTGGCGTCCACAGGGTTCACAGAGGGTGTCCGTTTCAATGACCCGTAAAAAAAAAGGTTTCGATATCGTGCTTAAATGCGTGACCGGTTAACACGGCTCGCGGATCTATTGCAATAAAAAAAAAAACGAACGTAAAACCGTCGGCCCCTCCAATTGTAAACCGATCTCGGACAATTCGCGGGGACACACGCATACGTACACAAAAAAGATACAAAAAACGTCACGAAATTCGGGGTTACGTTTTGCGGTGCTACGATTGTGACGCGCACGTGACCGACCGGCGAACTGGCACGTGAGCAGCTTCATGCTTCGCCGGGAGAACGTTTATTCATTAATGCTGAGGGGGAGGGCCGATCGATCCGATTACACGGCCGTGTGACTTCCTCGCGGCGGTGGTTATCGCCACACGAGAGAAAGAAATTAGTTCAATGTGCCGTATATGCAATACAGAGTGGGATACAGTCGTTGGAGACCGCTGAATTTGAGCATTTTACCGACTATATGTACTTATATACATGTACTTTGGTATCGTTTAACGATTAGAAATCGACTTTTAGCCTTCGAAGCACTAAGGAACGTATATGTGGTGTGTCTGGTCGGGTGGTACGACCACACAGAAGGTGAATCTATAAAAAACAAAAAGTAAGTCGAAGAAGGAATAAGATTTTCTTAATTTTATTTTTCAAAATGAAAAATTGTTGAAAGCAGAGTTAGTTGAAAAATTAAAATAAAACTAAATTGGACATAGAGAAATGAATAATTTAACATGAAAATTTAGTTTTTGTTAAAAACTTGTTAATGGGTTATGAACATATTGGATTGAAATTGACACCGCAGAGGAGTGTTAACAGAATAATTTTAGAATACGATTAATTAGGGAACTACGATACCATTCGAAAGATATCGTGTTTTTACACGAAGCGAATTCGAAAACTAAAAACACCATCGAACCGCAAACACCCGACACATCCGCGCACCAAACCACAGGTTAACAAATAATAGGTGGCACCGCTATCGAGCCGATTGTGTTAGATTAGTTTGAATAATTAACTGCAACGAATACGATCAAACATGTACGATGATCAATATTACGGGAATCGGCCAACGATTGGAGTATCCATCGCAAAGCGCTAATACAACGGCTTAATTGCATCGACACTTACTAACAACGTTATCCGCGGCGCAAATTAATACTCTATTTGCACGCCGTCGCTTCATCCGCAATGCATTATCTGTCTTTTATAGTGCGTTCGCCCGATTAACGCGCGCCCCGGCGCCGATTCGAGGCTATTCGAGCGTCGAAAGCGACGATCAAGCTTTCAGCACAAACGCCAAACGTGTCCAATTACACGTGGGCAGGTGCGCACGACGACAAAGTGTTGGTGAAAAGGATGAACTTCTTACAAGAACTGATAAATTGGAGAAAATTTAGTAAAAAAAAGGTTCTATTAAATTTACGATTTAACACTACAACTGCCGACGACAAACGCATATTTGCTTCGATCGCTGGATAAACGTGAACAACTTTTGAAAACTTAGAAATTGACTAATTTCTTCACTCTCGTATCGTAATAAAAGATGCAAAAGATCTGAGAAAATTTTGACTGGTTTGGTAGTTCTAGTGTTAATCGAATGTATACAAGTGGCTGTAATTTTCAATATAGTCGTCATTTGCTCTTCTACGATTGTGTAATCTATAATCGATTGATGCAATTATGGTGTGATCAATATAGGGTGCGAAATTTAAATTATTAGATTGTAATTGTAGAAAAACGGGGGAATAGATACGAACGAGTTTTAACTAAATAGTCTCATATTTCCCCCAATCACAATCCGTGCAACTCACCGAAAAATCCCTGGAGTAGATTACCTAAATGCGCCAAAAATGCACTGAGCACCAAAGGGTTAAAAAAACCCTTAAATAGTCTTAAATTGATTCTTGATTTTATAAAAATAAGATTATTTATACAAGGCACCAAAAAAATGCAGTGAGTGGGTTAATGTTCATTTAAATTTTCTACTGTCTCACATTTCCCCCAATCACAATCCGTGCAAAATCACCGAAAAATCCCTGGAGTAGACTACGGGCGCTAAAAACGGATCGCAAAGGGTTTATACGACCCGTAACAAAGGTAAGCAAGCGTTGCTTCCACTCGAGACCCTCCCAAGAATCACACGATCGCCAAGAATAACGCGATCATCTCGATTCCCGCAATTTCCGTCGAAACGCGTCTCAGAATCGGCGGTGTCGACGGTGTTCCACCCCCATCTAGACGCGGCGTTGGTCGCCCGGGCGTGCATCGGAGGCCTCAAACCAAAAAAAAAATGTCATTATTCCCCGCGGGGCTAGAGAGAAGTGTTAAGGGGGAAAGAGGACGGGAGAACGGTGGCGGCAGCGGAAAGATGGAAAACTGCCGCGTCCACGTCAGTTCGATTTCGCCCTGTCCGAGAGACAGAGAATCCGGGCGAGTAAAAAAAAAAAAAAAAAAAAAACGGGGAAGAAAAAAGAAAAGCTTCGACGAGAGACAAAAAAAACCCACCCCCACCAACCCGCGACAAAGAGAACGCAACAGAGGAACGGGAGAACCGCGGCTGCCCTAGGATGAACGCGAAACAGGGAGAATAGAAGGTGAACGAAAAGAGGGAGACGAACACGGTTGGGTAGAGGAGGTGGAGGTAGGGGGTGGAAGAGGAGAGAAAAATTTGCGCGCGGCGAGGCGACGCGCGGGCGCAAGTGTTGTCCGGCTACGGAGGAAAAAAAAATGGTTATTCCTTCTCGAATGTGCCCGATGCACATGCACATTTTCCCGCAGAACGGATGGTCCGAGAGGGAGGGGGGGTTAGGAGGAGGGTGGTTAGAGTAGGAGTAGGAGGATGAGGAGGAGATGGCGTAACCCCGGTGGGATGGCGGAGATAGAAAACGGCCGGGGGGGGGGGGGGGGAGGGTGAGTGGAACGAAGAGGGTCGACTGGAGGATGGGTGACGAAGGGGTGAGAGGGGGCGGTGAAAAAAGAGGTAGATGGAGGTGGCCCCCGAACGGCAGGAGGAAAAAGGAAGCAGATAGATAGAGTAAGAGAGATATATAGTAGGAGGAGGTAACATTGAGATTAGCAACGGGTAAAAAATCGATGTCATCGCCCCCAGCCCACCGCACCCTCGTTTCGCTCGCTCAACTCAACCCTCTACTACCCCCGCAGGGCCAAATAAAAGAACTCGAATACACGACCCCTGGAACGCGTACGCGGCCGCTTGTGTACGAACGTACGTGCGAGCACGCAACGGATGCCTTGTATGTATGTATGTGTGTACGTGTACACACACACACACAAGCAGAATGTCTCTTTGTGTACGCGCGCGCATCAGAGAATATGTGTATATATGGACGGGTAGAGTGCTGGAAAAGCGACCTCCTCCTCTCCAACCCCCCCAACCCCACCCACCAACGTTCTCTGACTACCGAAAGGGAGAGGGAACGTGAGAACGGGGTGGCGAGAGGAGGGAGGTGGATTCGTGGATGGTTACGGGAATGTGTGTGCGTGAGGGAGAAGGGGAGAGGGAGAGACAGCGCGGAGAAAGAAGGAGAAAGGGAAATAGGGAGAACACGCGCGGATAGATAGACGCATATATACATGTATATGTATATGTATACATATATGGGAGGCAGGAAGAACTGGAAAGGCAGGGTGAGTTATATGCAATTGGTCAGCCTGCACATTTTTTATCGGGCGCCGGGCGCGCAGCCCGCGATGGGAAATGGTAGTTACTCTTGTATCGACGAACGCCGACGGCGATAGGAATATTCTTCCACCACCTCCTCCACCCCACTTGCAAAAGGGTTGGTCTTTCGTTTCCACTGGGGAAATCGTGGATCGACGAGAGACTATTTAGAGTGGTCGCCTAACGCCTCTGTATCGATGGGTCTCCTTACGGCGAATTTACGCTGTCACAGTTTTCGACTTGCATCGCGGATGATTCATCGGAAATTCACCACCGGCCACAAATATGGGACCAGGTCTGATAATTAACCTTGTCAGGGTTTCTTCTTGGAAGGATATTTTCTTTATTCTTCGGGTGTATTTAATCAAACTGTATTTATAAATATTAACGACAATCGATTGAATATCCGTTTTTGTTCGGGAATTTCCTAGTGAATATTTAATTACAGTCTCGGAATGATTGCGAAAAAAAAACTAAGTGTACTAAGTGCCAGTATCCCTCGAATTAACCCTCGAGCGTCCTTTGTTCCAACGCTCATTTTAAAAGTGCGTCAAATTCTGTCGCTGGTTAATATACCATATTGTACTTCACGTCCCGTCGACAATGGAATTGTTCGTAGTATAATTATAATTATCGCGGAAAATAAGAAAGTCGAAAATTCTGAAACGAAACCGTGAACGACTGTGGATGCGCGTTTCGTGATTAATACGGCGGCTAACGTACCTGACGCGTACACCACACCGGAAAAGCAGAACTTTTAACTTTATCGAGCCCCACCTGCACGCGCCGAGTGGTGGTAACGCGCCGCCCCCTGCCTCCCCGGCCCCGTGTCATGGTAATAAAAGTTTTTACCTTTCCGACAAACGTAAACTCGTTCCGCCTCGTCCCGGCGTTACGCGTAAGGGATTTTTTATCGGGACGCTTTTTATCGTTCGGACACGCCGGAATCTGAAGTAGTAACCGCCCCCACCCTCTCCACCCCCATCGGATTACTGTCGTTGCCATTTTTCTGCGTACTATGTTGCCTTTAAATTAAAGACAGTAACTCACGGTTGACTCAAGAAACATCATAAATTCCGCTGTTACGGTGGTTATAGCAGTATATTATACTTAAACGCAATTACTGCTATAAATAATATTCACTGTTCTTTCTAACTCTTGTATAGTCATGTCACACTCTATGCCGGGTGAACCCCGAATCGTGATGAAATTGTTTTTATAAGGTATACTATGGTTTCAAGAGAGTTTTAACGTGATTATAGCAAATTTTTTGTCAACTCTTCTTTTTCTAGAACCCGTACTAGGATCTTCGACAGGGTAAATAAATTCTTGGTATCCAGTTTCGGAAAAATTACTCCATAAAATTTGATATTTCCACAAACATCCGCAGCCCGATCGTTGTCACACATTTATTCATTTCACGTGGCCAATACACCCCCGAACTTACATACCGCTCCTAAAAAACTAACCAAAAAAAAAAAAAAAAAAAAAAAAAAAAAAAAAAAAAGAAAAACATCGTATCAAGGAGAAATATGATTTTTCGCTCTCTACAAATAACACTTTCCCCACTTCCTACACCGTACTAATCGTGCCCGCACCGAATAAGATTCCTCGAGTTCTCCCCGGACTTAACACGTTGTCGTCCCGGCAGAAATCTAGGGTGGTATCTCCTCCGAACGTCTCCATAAAGCCATTCTAACGGTGGCCGACGTCGAATCGTTTCCCTCCCCTCGAAGTGTCCGCACACACGTGACCGCATTTGGCGGCACCAGAGGGGTGGTTGGGGTGGTTCGGTCGCGTGTTCAGTCCGCGTGGTACAATTATTCGAGGAGCGGAAGGGCTCGCACGGAGAGGGGTAGAGGGGTGGATGGCGAAAGAAGAGAAAAGAGAGTGGGCATAAGAACTGGGACATTGCCAACAAATTCGAGTTAGTCGAGTAGCGAGTGGTAAAGTGGTGGCTGCGGGCTTTAACGGTGGAGTGGGAGGCAAATGTCGACTCGACTGAGAATGGGGGTGGGTGTGTGTGTGTGTGCGAGGGGTGGGTGGTCGAGAGGGAGCCGAGAGCCACGGAAGAGGGTGAAGAAGCAGAAGAAAGAGAGAGAACGAAGGAACGCGAGGGACGAAATCAGAGAGACATGCCAACGGTGACGGCTAAAAAGGGTAAAAACGAACCAGAAGAGGGGAGAGGGTGGTTGACGGGTTGAAGCCAACGGAGGCCAAGGGGAGGAGAAAGTCGGAGTAAGGTCTAACCTCGTAGGGGAAGATTGTTTTCATTCGGTGCTCAAATTGAAAAGGAGCGAGGACCGAAGACCGCGATTCGAAAGCCAGCTAAGTGCCGGAGACAACCAAACGGAGGGTGATTTATTCTTTCTTCGGAGCCCCCCTCCTTGCCACGGGGCTCCACTCTCTCTCTCTCTCTCTCTTCGTAGTCCCTTTCATAGTGAGATAGGAGAACAGGGGAAAATTTGAGATTCGCACAAGTGGCAACGTGATCGATTCCCTTTTTGCTTTTTTCTTTTTGTTCAAGGCGTTCTAATTCGCCGAGGTGGTAGTAAATATGGTGGCTCGTGTAGAAATTAAGGAAACTGATAATGGAATATCGAGGTGGGCTTGTACCTCTGAACCTATGGACACACTAGTACTGCGGTTAAAGTGAGAAATATGCTTGGGGGACTTCGAAGGGAAATTTTGAATCTCCCAAATCCCTTCGTTTGGAAGATCAACCCCATATAAAGTGGTGACTATCGGTGATTAATAAATTTTCCCATGATGGAAAAAAAAGTCCCCGAGCCAAAAAATCGTCCCTTATTATCATTAATTACAGTAATTGTTATTACAATTGTCCGCGGTTAAATTAAAAAAAGAAACGTAAGAGACTTTTAATTAAATCTTCGAGATTTCTCGTTGGAAAAATCAACCCTTACGACGAAGTGGCAATTTTCAAGGATGAATAAATTCTATAACGATTTTATCTGAAATATCACGATTGATAAAAGTGATTATACGGCGGCGGTGTAATGGTAAATTATCCGGCAGAAACACCGGTATTACGATTAATTACCCGACCAGAAGTGCCAATAACTTTTCATTTCTCCTCTAATTAGCGTTAGAGGCTCGGACGAATCGCGTTACACCGCCGCGGCACAATTTGTCGTGGAAAGTATACGTCCCGATGGGAGGGGAGAGGAGATTGATTTCCGGGCGACCAGCGATTTTCCGTTTCCCTACTCTTACTTTTATTGCCCCTCCTATGCGTCCATTAGCAATTATACGAGCGTATCGGGTAACCGCTTACTTTCATTTCCCCTCGTCACGGAACGAGAATATCGTTTCGAGCTGTTTGAAGGAAGTTAACGGAACGAGATTCCGAAAAAGCTCTTTAAACCGCGCTACTTTTATCGCGCCTCAGAAATTTTTAACGAGTCCAACCCCTCCTCCCTCTGTTTCTGGAGAACTGGCGAGTCGAATATTCGAATAGGCTGAAGAAGAAACGAGGTCGGACATTGTTTCGCTGATACGTAAATAATTATTTAACCCATTAACACCCAATGTGACGTATACGTCACATCCAGAACATTATATTTCTAGGGGTTTTGTTGCGAAATACTTTCCCAGGCGAAAATTTGAAATACCTGTGAGAAAATATTCAAAAACAGTTATGTAGAGTAACTGAGTGCACCAAGGGGCCACGTGATCACCAACAAAATAAACACACTATAGATAAGTGAATGGATCGTATATAACCATATTTCGTATTATTTTGTCATATGCTTAGAATAATGAAAATCCTCTTGTGGCCGTCTGAGAGCATCATGTAAGTCTCGTGTGGCAGTCAACATGTTTACACTAGAACTACCGACGATAATCGCATATTTAATTCCATCGGTGGATAAACATAAAAAACTTTTGCAAATTTAGAAATTTCTAAATTGACTAATTTCTTCATTTTCATATCGTAATAAAAGGTGCAAAAGATCTGAGAAAATGTATTCTCGTTGTAAGATTGTATTGACAAGTCATTTTGACTTGCTTGGTAGTTCCAGTGTTAAATGTCAAAGGTATCAATGTTTCAAACAAGTCGCGTTCAAGACCCACCATCGCGACAGCCTCGTAAGAACCGTGTGCCGACGGGTAATGATCATACCGTGCAAACAGTGAACGAAAGTGCTTCAAGGGGGTGGGGTGGCCTGGAGAGAAAAGGCGTGGGGAGAGGGAGAGAGGGAAAAGCTAATGAGTCAATTAAGCGGTACATACGCCGTAAGGCCGGCGGTATCAATTCGAAGCGCAAATCGTACACGGCAATAACAACGCCGCTATAAAGCATTCTAAGCTAACTAGTTTGCCACTTGAGCCACCGGACGCAATTTCGCGGCGATTTAATGGTGGACCGGGGCCTACTCGACGACGTTCTGTCCCTACCTCCTGTTCCCGTAGGCTTGCACCCCATTAAGCAACACCCCTGGGTACAAGGGTGAGAAATGATCGGCCGCTAATGCTAATGAATATCAGCTCGTCGTGTCAAGGGAGGGTTGTTTGGAGTTTAGGACTCCGAACCAACCCCCTTCGCCCTTCGGTGGCACTTTCGAGGAAGTCGGGGTGTTCGCGTGTTACAGAGGGTTCGTGGGTCGCTTTTAAGAAAATTGCTGACAGAGGGGATTGACCCAGTGTTTCCCCTAATTAGCTAAAATTACACGATTTCCAGAAGCGACCGACCCCAGTCTTTGGTTTTTGCGACGGTCGACCGTGGATCGGCTGACATATTCCTGAACTTAATTAACGAGGAATCTTTTGATCCTTAAACACTGCACCCCGCCGTCGGTTGTTTCGGTCGGAGGACAGATAGAAATCAGGTCGGCATTCTTAAAGCAACGACCCCGTTTAATGGTGCTACTCGATGAAACTAAGTTGAAAGGGGATGCGACCGCCGTACATTTTCGGCGACCCTTGACGACCATAGATATGCGCACGCGATTGGGGGCGAGGACGACCGTTAGAAGAGGGGAACGAGATCGTTTTAAGAGAATCGACTTACCTGCTTGTGCATCTCCACGGTGATGCCGTAGGACATCTCGTAGTACTGCAACAAAAGAGAAGAGTACAGGGGGATTTAACGAGCAATGAAATGTCGAATAATGGATGTGTGTTTTGCTGAAATATTAATAATATATTAATCAGTGGTTATTATAATAGAATATTTCCAAAGTATTCCAAGGTTTATTGTTTATCTCGTATATATACAAGTATATTAAAAGAAGTAGTGATTCTACATGTAGATATGACTGAACAGACAAACTAGAGCGAACTCAACAAAGTCGGAAGAGGCTATACTGGACTGAACAGACCTGATACAGATTATTGTGAACTCGACACACTTGAAACAGACTTGATGTAAGCCATACTGCGTTCAAACAACTCGATATGAGCCATATTGGACTCTACGTACCCTCAAAGGTCTGAGGGGCTTTAATGGTCTCGAGAATTCCTGGGGTCTTTGAGGTCTCTGAGGTATCTAGGGTTTTTGGGGTCTTTGGAATCTCTGGGGCCTCTGGGGTCTCTTGGGTCTCCGAAATAAATGTGGTCTTTGAGGTCCCTGAGGTCTCTAGGATTATTTTGGAGTTCTGGGTACCACTGTTCCACCCTATTTCTTTCACCCTTATATTCCCTGTGTCCCGTGCAATCAATAGAAAAAAAAAGGATCACTACAACCACGTCCCCCCCGAATAATCGTGGCTCTAGCCTGCAAAGATAATCCTCGTCGAAAATTAAACCTTCAGACCGATCAAACATTCAATCGAACGAAACATTCCGAGAGGATTTTTCGCAATCGACATCGTGACCTCGTTTCCCGCCGTTATCCCTTAACAAGTATGTACATCTCACCCCCTCCCGAGCGGAGAAGGTGAAAATCAATCATCCGAGCCTGTGGAATAAATGTCCGTATATTTTTCTGTCGCGACGCGATCGGTCCGAGGAGAAAAGCTACCAGTCGGTATTCGCGCGATGAGAAAACCCAGGTTTTCTTTGGTCGATAGCGAAATTCTCGCCTGCTATCGATGAATGTTAATCGAAACGTTTAATTTTAAAGTATTAGGAGAGGAGGAAGCAAGTGAGAGAAGACGATTTGCTCTAGGAACCGAACCAGTTCCATGGCAGAGTCTCCTCGACCCGGAACGCTTCCAATTGGGTTAACTACATACAATTCGTGGGCACAGCCAGCCGATCGTAAATCGGTTAGCAGCCGAAACTGCTCTCGGGTGTACATATACACCAACCGCCAACCCCTATTCTGGGACCCATTACCCACGGATACGATGATTCCGGGGGAAGCATTATAGGCGTGCTCGTAAAAATATGTTCCGAGGGAAAGGCGGAAAGAAAACGTGGGGACAGAGACGCGAGCCTGGCTGAAGCAAAGATAGATCGCGTGTCTGCGTTCGTCGTGCAGTTAAAGGGTTAGTCCCGTTCGATCGTTTGCGTAGCCGACCGTGCTCTATTTGCATTTCTGTCTTTCTGTGTTCGAATCGCCGTGATAAATGTATGATATATACAGGCTGAGTCAACAAGAAGTACTATCTAACATAACTCGTTACCTGTTGGTTGTATAAAAAAACGTTTCAATGAGTTATATAGCATTTTAAGGGATGCATTGCATGAATACAATTGGATGTTTTTATATCTTATTTTTGTTTCGAGATATCAAGGTGATCTTGTGTTATTTCGAGGTCAATGCATTTTTTCTTTTAATAAAAACCCAAGGTCACCTTGAAGTTCATTAAACGACAGACTCACGCTCTGATTGGTCGGAGTTTTGCGTTAATATCTAGCGAACAAAGCCTCGGATAAGATTTTTGCTAGGAAAAAAGTTGTTTCAAATCATCCCAGGAACCCCTCATTTCCGGGAGTCGAAGCTACTTTGGGACACCCTGTATATTATCACTGAAGACGGTAATAATATACAAGTGTCAAAAAAATCCGAAATGTTACTCTAATAACTGTTCGATTTCACGTGGACTGACACCATAATGTCAATCTGATCCAAACCGGATCTACTTATTCCATAAAAAGCAACCATTGTTCTAGCTCCCTAATGAGCACACTTCACCGACCATTTATAAACCCCCCAAACGTTCGAACACTGGCGGAACCGCTAATGTAAAATTGTGCTTCACAATAAAGAAATATCACTCTCATCAACAGAGAAAGATAAGACAAGTTTCTCTCTAGGAATCCAACGGTACGACAAAATACACGCTTCGACGCGTCTCTTATCGCGTTCCACTTAACTATCGTCGGGCAATAATCCGGACCATTTCACGTATTGTCGATCTACTCAGGTAATGGACGACCGGGGAAGACGGAGCGGCGCGCGTTCGGTTTGCAGCACGACCGAATTGCCATTACGTTAAGAGGTTTCGAGGACAGGAAAACGCGAAGCGTGTTGGCGTTTCCAACGGTCTGAACGCCCGAGTCCATTCCCACCCTCTATCCACCCTTTGCGTCTCGTTGTCATCGTGGTCTCATCGTGATTATCGAGTGCATTATTAACTCGGTATATTTCCGTGGCCGATGGCTATCGATCTCCGTAGTGTCTGGCCGACGTGTGTGCTTTAGCCTCTCCCTCTCTTCTACCCTTTGGACGAGGAGAGAAGCCAACCCACCCTCCCCCCGAAAGCCATTCGTCCCGGAACGAGCGGCTAAAGGCGGACACGCAGTGCTAAGCGACAGCCACTAACCGATTTACGATCGCGCAGGCGCGCGGCTCACGGAATCGTATGATCCCGGTGCACTTTACCGGAACACACCAGGCCGGATCGAACAACCGTTCGGGATTGGACGTGGCTCCTTCTCCTCTTTCATCTCACCCCACCCCTCGCCACCCATGCACCACGCTCGGCTTACCTGTGTTCCCTCTTCTCGTCTATCTCACGGATTACCACTTTTGACTTATCGCGGGCGTTGAATCCTGCGACTAATTTGACGACAGAATGTACATATGTAACTCGATTATTGTCACGATCCTGTGTCTTGGGAAATTTATAATTTTGTAGGGGTGAATGGGTTAACTTGGACATAGGTAAACCTTGATTCTACAAGGTGTCCTGAAATAGTTGTAAATCCTTGAAAGGGGTGATTTTTGGGGTGATTGGAAACAACTTTTTTTGCTAAGGAAGAAAGTTGTTTCAAATCACCCCAGGAATCCCGCCTTTCAAGGACTTACACCTGTTTTGGGACACCATTTATGTACACTACCGGCTGAAAGTGTGGGACCAGGTCCGATAAGTAAAGATAAAGAAAAATATTATTCTACAAAGATTTGATGAAAGTAATAAGTCTAATAAAAGTCTGTTCAATTTTCATTTTTCTACAACTACTATCTAAAAAATCCCTAATCTGCATAAACTTCCGTACTTTAATTATTTCATCATGCTTCTCTTTCACTACTATCTCTCTTCTCGGTCACGAAACAAGGACAAGAACCAAGTAAAATAAGATCAAACAGCAAACAATCGTACCAGTAGTTCGAAGAAACGGAATGGTTGGCCGAGCGACAACTACAGAAGCATTCCTGTACATTCGCATCGAACTCTGAAAAAGTCACCGAACGGTCCTCTTTAAAGAAACCGAAACCGATCATCCACCCGTTGTACCACATCCTTCAAGTAGAATCACATCTCCCTGTTCGAGTCGACTTACACAGAGAGAGAAAAAAAAAGAAAAAAGAAATGGGAACGGAGTCGTATTACAATCGAACTATCGAGTAACGTCAGCCTTAAATTGCGCGTCATCGATATCCACCCCCAGTAGGGAAGTTAATTTGATGCACGGACGTAATAAAATGCTTCTCGGCCGCATCGCGGATCGTATATTGGGTTCTAGCTGGAAAGTCGCCGAAACAAGAAGAAAAGAGTTCGTCGGGCCAAGTCGATAATCGGATGAAGAGAAACCTCCCTATCTCTCCCTCAATCACTTGCTCTCTCGCTCTAGGCAGCAGAGGGGTCGTATCGATCCTCATCTGACAACCTTTCCTTTTCTATTTTCACGTGGTTCGGAACCCAATAATAGGGGTTGTACCGATAATTTCGCCCCCTCCGGTTATTCGATATGGATCTTTTAGTAGCGGGCCTTTGCTGGGGCGATCGAGCCGCCCACTCTCTCTCTCTCTCTCTCTCTCTCCCCTTCTTTCTCGTTTTCCCAGTTTCGCCGTCTATCCACTCCTCCCTTTATCTTCCCCATGTTTCTCGACCCTATATTCCGTATCCCTTTTCCTGACTCATTGCTCCGCACTTTGTTCCGGCTTGTCGCTCGCCTCCCATTTTCCTTTGTCCCGTTTCCCATTCCTTTCGGATGTTTTCACGAGAGGGCTCTCTCGCACCTCCACCGGTGGAAGCCCCCGCGAGTGCAATTAACGGATAATTAATCAGCCGGGGTCGATCGCCGCGAACACCGAGAGGGGGTGGATCATCGGATAGGTGGGGAAGCGAGGTGTTGTCTTTGCTGGGAGGACGAACAAAGAGTAAAAGGAAGAATCGTATAATGATATCGAGTTCTGTGAGACGTTTGGCACGGTTAACTGTTAAAGTTAGTTAACCCCATCTAAAGGTAGATAGGTAGTTTTTTAGTTATTTGCTTTCGATGTTTTTCGTGGGATTTACTATACAAACCTAGTTTCGAAAATTCTAAACTTCTAATATTCTAATATTCTAAATTTAAAAAATTCTAAATAAGCTATCTTCTAAAATTCCAAATTTCTACAATTCTAAATTTAAAAAATTCTAATCTTATTTCTGAAAAATTCAAAAATTCTAAAACCTCAATTTTTTTAATTCTAAAGTTCTAAATTTCTAGGTTGTTTAAATTCTACATTTCAGCGATCCAAAGTTGTAGCCCTCTCGTCGTACGATATTTCCTTCAAAAGCAAGCTTCTGAATCGACCAATTCGCTATTATCCGCAGGCTAAGAATGATCAGCGATTACAAACTCGACGGTATATACCATTTTCAGCCCTCGAAATCGCTCACGAAGAACAAACTCAAAGATCCATCGGTCCCGCAAGTCTCTCTAAGTACATGTACTTCT